AGGGGGGGGGAGGAGGGTAGACTACTGGAAAAAATAAACCTGATCGGGAAAACGCTGAATAACACTTAACATGAAAAGATTATTAATTTAAAGAAAAAACAACAACAATTTTTTTGGAACTCATGGAACTGAAAGTGGACAGGACAAAATATTTTATACGTGTTTGTCAGTACAGCCCTGTTATTCATCATTGTGATGATTTGACAAAGAGGAAATGTGAATAAGCAACACAAATAAAGATATAAAGAAGAGTAAGAGGTCCATGTTTTGTGCACCTATTTCACCCCTCCCCCAACCTCCCGATAACATAATATTTCTTCTACGCAGGCCGTAAAATCGAATTCGAGTAGGGTTAGAATTTTTCTAGTTTGTTTCTAAATACTGTTTCTCTGAGCTATGATTTTCTACCTGAAGTGTTTTACTTTCTAAGCAATACACAATATAATAATGGTAATAATCATGGTAAGAAGAGAAAAAGGGATAACAATAACAACACTGGAAATAACAATTGCTAAAACAAAATTTTTCTTTCTCAGTCTTTTCCTAAACCAATCTTTTCCTCGTCTCTCCCCGTCCTTCTCCGGCCTTCTACGACTCTCTCTCTCTCTCTCACCCTATCTGAGTGTGTATATGTGTGTGTGTGTGTTTGTGTGTGTGTGTGCATGTGTGTGTGTGTGTGTGTGTGTGTGAGTGTGTGTGTGTGTGTGTGTGTGTGTGTTCACGCGCACGCACGTGCGTATACGACCTCACACATACATATTATTTGACATAAATATGCAAGTACTGGTAACCACTGACAATCATATCTCATTATCCCGTTCCCATCTTATCTCTCAGTTGACGGGAAAACGCTCGATACTAGTTGACAAACGGGCATGCCGGCCGCCTAGTGCAAACGTCTACTTCCTATTAAAACTAAGACAACAAAAGATAAACTAACCCAAACATCTGTTGAATGTCCGTTACAAATTATCTCTGCCTATCACAGATTATCATATCGCATGCCGCTCCCACTCTAATCACTTAGTTATCAGGAAAACGCTCGATACAGTGCATGCCGGCCGCCTAGTAGAAATTAAAAAAAAAAAAAAAAAAAAAGAATCTAAACTCTCAAACACCTTTCGATTGTCCGTTACAAATTAGTCTGCACCTATCGACATTTCCCTTCCGCCAATTTCATCGAACCGCCATTTAGTGTACGTGCCAGATAAGCGCGCGAACAGCTTTCCAGACAGGCCGGAGAGAATATTTCTCCGTCGCCAGACCACCGGGAACCGCTGCAGACGCTGGGCTGGGGGACACCCCATGACGTCACACGCCGGCGACCAATCAGGGGACAGCACCGCACCTCGCAACTCTCCCCGCGCCGAACCACGCTGTTTCTCGTGGCCCCGCGGACAAATGTTCCTGAAAAGGAGCGCAGGTGGAATATAAAAAAAGAATAACTTCATGAAGGAAAAACCAAAACAACATAAACAGCTCGAGCAAAACCAAACTATATAGCGACATCGACTGGAGGCTGAGGACAAAAGGCTAGGAGTAGGTGTAGAGAGAATCTATTCTGTCTTCGTTCTTTGCCGGAGGACCACGGATATACCTGCGTGACACGACACACACTGCAACAAGTGTGGAGCGCAGACAGAACAACTGAGGTAAATTACCGTCCAACTTCCATACGGAATAAATGTAATAAGAAATCAAGAGATAACCAAAATGCATGTTATTATATAAAAAATATTTTTTTAAATGTGCTTTGAAGAAAAACACAGTAAACAATACGTTGAATAATGCAACGTGAGAAATCTTACATTCCAAAGCTCTTTGTAATAACTGAACACAATATAGGTGCTTAATAAATGAACAAACAAATATGTAAACATATATACAACAATACACAAGTAGAACAACGATGTGCTATGAGTGGCTGAATTAAATAGATAAATAAATAAATACATAAATAAATAAATACAACCACTGCAATCCTGCTTTGAAAAAGCATATATTTACATGTTTTGCATATAGGTAAGCTTAAATTATAACTTAAAAATGTGCTCATCGTTTTCGGTCTTTTCCTTCTAAAACTTGCACTTCTCCTAATCCCTTTTTTCCATTTTTTTCTCTCCCCCCAAAAAAGCAAGAAAACCCCGTTTTTCAAATACACAAATGGCCACATTCCATTTCCTCCATTGCAATTGTTTTTTTAAAAAACAGTTTCCATTGTATTTCTTATCTATTTAAATGATTTTTCTTAAATGAAATTATATTCAATGTAGTTTCTTTTACCTACTCAAGAAGCTCACTTGCAATCATATCACAATTTTTTAAGGACAACTTGATTCCGCCGACTATCAAGCTTACATAAATACAGTACAAATATTCAAAATTGGCCACTCTTTGTCCAGGAGAAGAAATGGTTGTCTTAAACAATTGGATGTCTTTGACAGTGCCATTATATAATAGAAAAGACGAGAGGAAGTGGTCATAATTTGTGTAGGGTGATGTCCGGGGCAGATTACAGCAGTTAGAGCAGGTTAGACAGCAGTTAGTGTCATGATTTATAAAAAAGAAAAAAGTGTTCCGTGTCTGTTTTTTGTTATTGACCGTAACACAATTTGTGAATTTCTCTTTGCTTGCTCATTTTGTACCTTTACTTATGTTGGTTGAAATGTTCTTTCTGTCCAATGTATTGACACGCTGTTTACACAGATTTTTAAAAAGTTGTCTCTTCATCACCTCAAAGGGGAGATCGATGTGGACCCCAAGGTTTTTCTTCCTTACAAATGAATATTTGTAGGGCCTGAGACTCATTCAACTTTATCCCCCCCCCAAACTACCCCAAACAAACAAACCAAACAAAAACAACAAAACAATAAATAATAAACCAATACCCCCCCCAAACCCCCCCCCCCCAACCAAACAAAAACAACCCAACCAACCGAACAAACAAACAGACAGACAAACAACCAAACAAATAAACAAACAAACAAAAACAAAACAAATTAATGAAAGGAACCAACAAGTAAAAAATACCGCCTCCCCCAACCCCCCCCCTCCAGTCCTATCTATTTCTTTAAGAAAGGCCGGGGTTTAAAAAACCCCATTGAAAAAAACTAAAAAGTCTCTAAGGTTGAATAAAACTCAATTTCTCTGTGTTCTGTTTGCTTTTACAGTGAAGGTGCTGGTCACCGCCTATCTTCCCCTCGGAGTAGCGCTGGACGCTAACAACGGAAGGTGAACAGAAGCTGTGGTAAGTTCACACATCTATCTATCTATCTATCTATCTATCTATCTATCTATCTATCTATCTATCTATCTATCTATCTATCTATCTATCTATCTATCTATCTATCT